GCAGGAGGAAGAGTGAGAGAGGTCTTCATTCAGAGAGAGAGAACAGGGTGGCTTCATCAGAGATGAAGAGAGAGCACGGTCTTCATCAGAGAGACGAGAGAGGAGGCCAAGGTCTCTCCTCAGAGGATGGAAGGAACGGGGTCTTCATCAGGAGAGGGAGGAGGAGAGACGCACCGGGTCTCCATCAGACAGAGGAGGAGAGAGAGCGGTCGTTCATCAGACGGGAGGAGAGAGGAGCAGGGGTGGCGTCCGGATCCAGAGAGGAGGAGAGAAGCATGGTGTCGTGCGGGAGGAGCTCAGGGGTCTCCATGCAGATGAGTGGCGGACGGAGGAGAGGAGCAGGGTCTTCATCGAGAGAGAGCAGGGTGGCTTCATCAGGGAAGAGGAGCAGGGTTCTCATCAGGACTAGAGAGAGAGAAAGCAGTCTTCATCATGGGAGAGAAGAAGGAGAGGCACTGTCTTGCATCCAGAGGAGAGAGAGAGAGCGACGGTCTTCATTCAGGAGAGAGAGAGAGAGAGCAGTCCTTATCAGAGGAGACGAGAGAGAGCACTGGTCTCCCATCAGAGAAAGAGTAAGGCAGTCGGGTCTCATCGATGAAGAAGAGAGGGGTCTTCATCAGAGGAGAGAGAGAGGAGCAGGTCTCATCAGAGAGAGAGAGGAGCACGGTCTTCATCAAGAACGAGAGAGACCAGATAGAGAGGAGAAGACCAAGGGTTCTTCATCAAGAAGAGAAAGCAGTCTTCATCAGATGAGAGCAGGTTCTTCATCAGAAGAGACGGAGAGCAGGTCTCGATCAGGAGACGGTCATCTCCAGTCGAGGATAGACGAGAGAGCAGGCGCAGGCGTGCGGATTCACGAGCCGGAACAAACAAACCAACCAAGGCCGGCGTTTTGATCCAGTTTTTACAACTGATGGGAGAAGTTAACAAGCGCAGTGGTCCATGACGAGGGACCAGTGCCTGCTGGGAACTGGGGTCTTCTGAAAGATCAGGAGAAGCGGGAGCGCCGCAACCGGCTGATTGTTCGTTTGTGTTGTTGTTGTTGGTGTCAGCTGTGAGGCCTTTGTTTCCGCGCGGTTGGCTTTATGAAGCAGGCACGGAAACGTTACGCCATGACGCAACGATGACGCCGAATGACGCGACCAGTCGGGACTCTGGCGGTGGAAAAAGTGCGATGCTAAACCGAGAGAACGGGTTCTGAAACCTGAAAGTCTACGGGGTAGAACTGGAGTTGGCGGTGGTGTGGGTGAGTATTGGGTGAGAGAGCAGGTCTTCAGGTTACAATTACTTTTAATAAGAAACATCTTGTCCCAGAAACACGATGAGGAGGTGTGTCAGCGCGTGCAGAGGAGATACCAGAGGAGGGGAGGTGGGTCTGAGGAAGGAGTGCAGTGAGGGAAGCAGGAGGCAGGAGGAAACCAGGAGCAGCGGGATGACCTCGTCTCTGATGGCGACGGTGGTTCTCCTCGGTTCAGCTCCTCCTCAGACGCAGGAGGTGGCTGCTCCTCGCCGACGCAGAGTTCCACCGATCCGAGCGCAGGAGTAAATCTGAGAGAAACCTTGAGATGTTATTCCTGAGGATTGCTGCCGTTTGAAGTCTCCTATCACGGCACCTCACTCCTCTGATGGTCTGTTTCTACACAAGTGTCCCCGGTGTGTCCCCCGTGTGTCACCGTGTGTCCCCAGTGTGTCCCCAGTGTGTCCCCCGTGTGTCCCCGGTGTGTCCCCGTGTGTCAGGAGACTCTCAAAGTGTCAGGAAACAAACCCCTCTCTCTTTTCCTCCGTACCCACATCTCTAAAAACGGAGCTGATCCAGATTTGCTGTCAATATGACGTAGTGATAGTTTTCTAACAGTACCTGTGTTTGCAGATGGATCATTCCCGATGAACCAGAGAAGCTTCCCTCCGTCCTTCTGGAACAGCTCCTACCAGCCGTCCTCCTCGCTGGGCAGCGCTCTCTCCTCTCCCCACTCAGAGCTCTCGTTCCCTGGGGACCCGTACGCTTCCTCCTCCTCCCTGCACAGCCACCTCCACCAGCCCAGCCCCGACTCCTGGCACCCGTCCCACCACCACCACCATCACCATCACCACCCTTACTCACTAGGGGGCGCTATAGGCAGCCAGGGATCGGCGTACCCGCGTCCGGGGGTTCACGAGATGTACAGCACGGCGTTCGATCCTCGGTATGGATCCCTGTTGGTGCCGTCGGTGAGGAATCATCACCGCGTGGCGTCTGGCAGCTCGGTGCCCAGCGCCTCGCCCTGCGACCTGGGGGGGAAAGGAGAGTCAGGGACGAGTTCATGGAGCGGCGCTTTCACTGGAGCCGGAGCGGAGATCGGACTCAACATGGACACAGGTAATGTCAATGTTTCACTTCAAATGTAGCCTAACATCAATGGGCTTTACAATCAACAATGGGTACATCTTATGTCCTTTAAATGAGTTAACAACTGAAAGAATAAACCTCAGGAAGATCGAAAGTGGATGTATTCCTCTTACAGGACCGACATATGTGCGATAGATTTACTAAGTATGCACATATAACAATAGAAAGACTGTCCTACAATATAGAGAAACAGAATGGTATCATCCGTCAAACTTATGACAATTTGTTGGCTTTCCTCAAAGTGCTAAGCCAAGAGTTTTAGGTCGAATCAAACACCAAAGACTTCGGTAAAGAATCTGTCATGGCAGTCTTTTTATAACTTAAAGGGGACCTATCATGCAAAATGCACTTTTGTACGTCTTTTATACATGAACATGTGTCCCCGATGTTCCAGGGAACTCACCAAGTGTCAGGAAACACAACCCTCTCTATTTCCCTCCATACCTAAATCTCTTAAAAAGGGGCTGCAGAGGATCTGATACAGGCTGATCCAGATTTGAACACTTCTATGACGTCACAGAAGTGGCGCTACGGCTATTGGGCCAACTCCACCAATCAGGAGGAGACAGCCACGGACATTGCCGTTGGAAAGCGCTGGAGACGCTGTAGTACATATGCCAGGCCTGTAGATGGTGCTGTTCTCACAGAATCAGCCCNATAAAACTTCCACGTCCTTGGAACATTAAATTTACTGACAATGAACTATTTTACGGATTCGTATAATTATGTATCGTAAGCCAATTGCTTCAAACTTAATTTCTTTCCCCTTATTTTTTGGGAAGGGAGAAAATCTTGTTTTAACTAACAATTTACAAAGACAAAGGAAAGTGTACTATTTTTCGTTCAGGGTGGGGTTACGCAAACTCCCTATTACTAAATTAAATTTATCGTGTTAGTTCAGTTACGTTAGTTAGTTAGTTAGTTAGTTAGTATTACCTAATCTTTGGAAGTTCTAAGACCAAAATTTTTCTTCTTACTTACTCTACACAGAATCAAATGTGAAAAGGGATTCGGTACAAATTTTTTTCTTTACCGAAGGAATAAAAACGATATATGGGACAAATCGGTGGAAAAGAAATTGCCGCAAAACCCACATAGAAAACACTAAATATGTCGTAAAATTAATTATGACATCAAACAATATTATTAACTCACCGTAATTAATCGTAAGTTTAGAAGGATCAGAATACAAGTCTTAAATGGACTACAGGTATCACATTCATAATGGAGTATTACTGTAAGCACTGAGCAATTCAGTGTTAACTATCTTTATTAATACTAAAACACTAATAAATATATTGTAATATACATATTTTGCATCACACAAAACCCAGTTTAAATAAAGTTAAAACAGTTTACATGTTTGTCCCCACTAGTGGTTAGCATGTACGGATTTCTTCATCCATTTTTCATCCAATTAAAATGTATCTCTGTTTGTAGAGCGCATTAGAGCCTCATGGGGCTGTTACTGTAAAGTGGCTTTAGTTATTAAGATAAATGATTGTTGTACAGAAAGGACGGTGCAGGTCAAACTCTTGGTGGGAATGCGGGGATATTTAAATTTCAAAATTTCAAAACAATTGGATTTAACAGAAGCTTCTCCTCTCTGGTGGTGAGGAAAATGAAACATTACTCTGTCTTTCTTTAGGTAGACATAACACGAGGATCAGCAACAAGCATGTGGTTCTGGACACATTCCAGTGTGTGTGTGTGTGTGTGTGTGTGTGTGTGTGTGTGTGTGTTCGCACATTTGTTAAGTCTCAAGCACCCCAGAGTCAGTTTTCCACTCATGCTCAAGCTGTTAATATTGTGTGTTAAAGAGGATTAATGTTTCATTGAGTGTGTGCGTGTGTGTGTGTGTGTGTGTGTGTGTGTGTGTGTGCACGTGGGACATGCTCGTAATCGTGTGTCAGCCAGTGAGGTAATTTGTGTGCAAAAAGCATCTCTTATTTCAGAGTTTCTTTCGGTAATCTTACTGGAGAGTTGAAACATTTTCATGAGGTTTTGTTGGTTTACGTCATTTCTACTACTGCTATAAAAACTAACACCTTGTCATTTATAAACTTAAAAAATAACCTCAACAACAATCAATATCTGAAACTGAAACTTACATAATCTCACCAGTGGGTATACTTTCTTTTTACAGTCAGAAAAACATACCAAGTGATGAGTTGTTTTTTAGAATCTAGAAAAAACACAAACACAAAACATATCCGTACACTAAAGATATTGGGCTTATTTGAGGCTAATGCACGTGCAGGAATGAGACATTTGAGTAAATCGAAAGAGGACTCGACAGCTGTGAGACTTCACTGGAACCTGCTGCAGATGATTTACTCCAAAGTCTGTGAATTAGAAGAAGAAATGCAACAATTCAAATAGTGTCCAAATCTATGAATGTCAACTGCATTGCTTTGAGGAGTGGATAATGGAGTATACATTAGGCAAGGCAAGGCAAGTGTATTTATATAGCACCTTTCAACACAAGGCAATTCAAAGTGCTTTACAAAAATGAAAGACATTCAGAAAATGGCATTTCAAAACATTCATTAAAAAGCAAAGATAATAAACATCAAAAGAAAAAATACATGATATCCTACTTTATCCTTTATTTTACTCTAAATTGGACCTTCAATTTTAAAAGGGACATCAGGCTGTATTGAAAACACTTGAAACTATACGGATTAAGACCATAAACAAGCCAGGAACATTTGTATAGAGGTATTAAATCAAGTTAGAAGTAGGGTGATTTTCTCGTAGACTTCTATACAATCTGAATTATTCCAGAAGAGTCGCCCCCTGCTGGCCATTTGACACATTGCAGGTTTAAGGCTCTTTCACACTGGCGTTACGTTTTCAGGGGTTTCCGCTTGATTTATGTTCAATTGATAAAGCCCTTTACAGGTTGTAGTCATTATGACAGCAGCAAAGAAGGAAGTTAGGTAACAGGATTATACATCGACGTTATCTTTCCCCTTAACCGGACCAAGTCATTTTTTGCGCTAATCCCTTCCCAATTCTTAACCATAGCAGTTTCACCCCATAAAACAGTGGGTTTTTTTTATTAGAGGGCCCAGATTAATGATGATATTCTACCAAATGTGGCATCAGAACAATAAGAACGTTGATATTTTGATATAAATGTGTGGACAAACATAATATTTGGCCTTTTTATTTTTTGTTTTTAAGAATTTTCTTGCCTTTTCTTGAAACTTGACAAGTTTTGATCGGTTAAAATCCTGGAACAAATCAACATAACCAAATAATAACATGATTGTGATGGTCAGCGTTTAGATATGAAAGACTCCCAACTTTCAAGGACTTCTGAATTAACTTTGACTTGGTCTTTTGCTGAAAACCTGCTGAAACTTTTTTTGTTTTGTTGTTCCTTCTGTTTGGAAAATGATTTCCTTCGAAGGGCTTCAAAGCACCTGATTCTTGCCGTGACCTTCTGTCAAACAGCAGAGAGGATGCCGATCATTCCTCATTGAACCTTGGCGTTTTCGAGGTCCATAATACCCACAGATCAATGGCAGGATGAGCTGAGCGTCGCACTTCAATGGGAGATATTTTGGGTTTTAATAGCTTCTCCGCGCCACTTGTTGTGGGCAACAGGTGTGCTGGTGGTAGAGGGGTCAGCCAAAAGGGCCGTCAAGTGCCACAATGACACAAATCACTGCACCAGATTATTTATACAAGGGCAAATACCACTGGGATAACATAATGGTTATAATAACCTACAAAAATGTGTACTTAATGCTCCTTTTCTAGTTTCATATCAGTATTTAGTGTCTCTACTGAGACATGTCTCCATGCTTTAAAGGGGACCTATCATGCAAGATGCACTTTGTGATGTCTTTTATACATACATATGTGTCCCCGGTGCGTCGGGGAACTCATGTCAGAAAATAAAACCCTCTCTCTTTTCCTCCGTACCCAAATCTTTTAAAAACGGGTGTACAACGAGCGGATACAGATTCCATCTGCTGTGACGTCGGCTGACCCACAGAAAGTTGCTATCAGAAACAATGCCTGACGTGTTTTGGACGTAATCTCGTCTTTGTTTACATTAGCAAGCCTCGCTAACACTCAGAGCTAACCTGTACTGAAGAGCACATGTGTTTGAAAAGCAGGAAATAAAAAAAGAACTCAACTTGTGATAAACCTGCAAGAGAAAAGTATTTGAGCTGTTGAGTTCTTTTTTTATTTCCTGCTTTTCAAACACATGTGCTCTTCAGTACAGGTTAGCTCTGANGTGTGTGTGTGTGTGTGTGTGTGTGTGTGTGTGTGTGTGTGTGTGTATTCAATCAATATCCCACCGTCAGACCTCAATTCAAAGACGTCCCGCTCTCTTTACATGAGCTTTCGGCAGCTGCTTCACTCAGGATAAAGGATATTTTTCCCCTTTGTGAAATGAAGAAATATAATTGTATTTGTTAATTTACACATGCAGTATGTCACAGATGGATGTGCTTAAAATCATATATATTTATATATTTATTTTTAATCTTTCTTCACATTTATTCCTTTTTTTTTTACCTTGTATTGCAGTTTAATGTTTTTTAAAGGTTTGTGTAATTATGCTGCTCAGAATTCCCTTGAATAAGCATATTTCAATTTCCAGAATTTCAAAGAAAGGTCAAATAAAAACAATAAATGTACTCACGCAGTATTATGCAGCTGGATGTGCTTGAAACCTCTATTTCAGTTAACTTTTTTTACTACATTTTTAATAACTGTTTTATGTTTTTGTGATGGTTTGTGTAATTATGCTGCCGTTTTGGTCAGAATTTCCTTGAAAACCCTGTTTCTATTTCCATTATATTACAGCTGGATGTGCTTGAAACACGTATTTATTTGTACTCTTTTTACTTTTTCTATGTCTCTTTTATACTTTTTTAGTGGCTTGTTTAATTATGATTCCTCTTTGGTTAGAATTCCCTTGAAATACACAAATCGAATTCCACGTT